GGTGCCAGCAGAGAGACATCCCCAGCCAAGCTGTGGGGCACGGCTGAGCCCCTGCCCCACACAGCAATGCCCTGGTGGGGGGCAGCGCTGGATCCAGCCCCTCTCCGAGCCTCAGAGGAGCCATAAAACACCCGTCACCTGCGGGACCGGCCATGCTGGATGGGTGCGAGCAGAGCCCAGCAGCCCCAGCCTCCCGCCGCTGGATTCTCCAGTGTCTAATAAGGGCTGAGCCCAGCCTGCAGCTTCCCCGCCTTCTCCCCGGAGGGACCCAGCACCTCCGACCTCTGCCAAATTTGGCTGAGACCAGCCACCGAGCACAAACAGACGTGGGCCAGCCCCGCAGGCAACCCGAGGGGGTGATGTTGGTGGTGGGGGGGTGCTGGGACCCCTCGGGCCCCCCTCCGCCGGGGTTACCCCGTGGGCAGGCACCGCCGCCGAGCCCCACAGCTGCCGCTCGCCCCCGCAGCCTGCCCCAGCCACCTGCCAGCAGCACAGGAAGTTTTAGGAGCTATTTTTAAACCTGGCTTTTTTCCCCCCCACTCTTTAGCAATCTATTCAAAAAAGACCGAAGAGGTGAGGCTCAAGCTCCCCAACCCCCCCTCTCCAACTCTGTGGGGCTGGGGTGCCCCCGATGCTGCCAGCAGGGAGGTCCCATGGGGATGAGGGGACGGTGATGCTCACGGTGGCTGTGCCCCAGCCACCTCCCCACCGAGGGTGTGCTGCTGGTAATGCAGGCAGATGTGCCCACACACGTGGTGGCAGAGGTGGTGGTGGTGAACAGATGCCTTTTGGGGAGCTCCTCTGCCGAGCAGTGATTTTTTTTTCTGCCATCCCCTGAGACTGGAAAGGCAGGTCCTGGCCATGGGAACGGGGAGATGCTGCAGCGTGTCCCAACACCTCCCCGGTCCCTCACCCCACGAGGGCCGACAGCCCCATGGGTGATGCCAGGGTCCTTCTCCACAGCATCTCCTCTGCTCCCTGCCCCTCTCCTGGCCTGTAGCATCCTCTGAGCCAAATCCCACCACCAGCCTTCCCAAAAGGACCACATCAACCTCCCCGGCACCTGCTGGGAAGAGGCGAGGGGACCTGTGGCTCTGCCCTGGCACGGCCACCATGGCTGAGATGGCCACCACGGGCTGCCGGGTGGCAATGATGGGCACAGCACTGCCAGCACCCGCCCCTCCGGCCCTGGCTCTTGCACTGAAACGGAGTTAATTATTTCATAGCGTAAAAATAGCACCCGCGACAATCAGCTGGGGGATTTAATAAGGCAAGCCCTGACAATTATGTTTCTATTAGTAGAGGTATCGTGGCGTTGTTAAGGCAGGCTCCTATTAAGCATTTGGTAATGATCCATGCAAAAGGAGACGAAAGATCACGGTAATCAATACTCAGCAGGAGAAAAAAGGCAGGGACGGAGCCTGGGAGCTGCCAGGAGGGCAGGGAAGAGGAAAGGGAGGGATATGGCATCGGCGAGGCTGTGGTGGGTGCTCTTTTTCCATGAGGTGTTGCCAGCCCAGGACCTGCTCATCCTCACCCCAGCACAATGTGCCAATGCGGGCAGTACCGTGTCCCCCGGGGACACGAGTGGTAATTTGGGGGACAGGGATGCTGGGAGGACCGAGGAGAAGAAGACAAGAAATTGCCCTTTCTGAGAAAACGAGGAACCAGACAGAGAATCAACCCTGGATGGGGATGAAAAGGAAGGACTGTGCATCAGAGGGAAACACAGGATCAGAGGGGTCTCTTACCACGGCTCCAAGTGCTCCCCGAGGTGGCCGAGGGGTGATTTTCTCCCCGGAATGACACCAAACCCCACCGGCTGCATCCGGAGACCGGCGCCAGCCGGGAGTCACCGGCCGGGCACAGGGAGGAGGTTTGGGAGCCGGGACAGGACGGGCAGGAGGTGGGTCCGTCCGGCTGCTCCGAGGACAGGTCTGGCCCTGCTTCCAGCCACGCTCCCTGCCCAACGCAGGGCATTGATGTGGTCAGGGCAGGGCTGAGCCCGGCAGCCAGCTCAGCCAGCGGTGCGACCGGCCGGGCCAGGGCCATGCCAGCACGATGGCTGGGGACAAAGGGGGACCATCCCCCCAAATGCTGCGCCCTGGGGACATTCGCCCACCGTGGTCTATTCACCCTGCCCGCCCTGAGGGATGACTTTTGGGGTCTGGTGTCACGCCTGGCTGGTGGTGGGGGGCTGGGATGTCCCCCTGACCCCACACCCAGTGCCACCATGGGTCTGAGCTTGCAGAACTGAGCTTTCACTTGCACCAGTAAGAAAACTTTGTCCCCTATCAGACTTTGGTCCAATGTTAAAAGAGTGATGGACTACAAAAGTCCCCCCTCTCCCCGGAGAGTGTCCTGTGGGCAAATACCCAGGACGAGGGGGATTTGGTGACCCTGTCCCTGCTCTGGAGCATCTCAAAGGACATATGTGACCCCTTTCTGTGGTCACCACCACCTCACCGGTGCCGGGGCAGCAGCGATGCTCTGCCCTGCCCCAGACGTGACAAGAAACAAGGAGCCCTGAGAGCAACCCGTGTCCTCCGGGACCAGCCCCACTGGTTATTTAAAACCCGACCGAAGGGGAAGAAAGACGGCGGGGTTCGGCTCGGCCACCCCCGGGGAGGAGCTGCCAGCACAGGGAGGAAGGAAGTGCTGTCACCCTGCGTGGCTCCTGTGACACAGAGGTGGCCCCCAGCCCCGGGGCAGTGCCAGGTAGCCACAGCCACTCTGCCTGGGCACGCTGCTGCCGG